CTGCGCGACATTTCGTTCTCCCATTTTCAATCCTGACTATTTTTATTCTTTCCTTTTTTTATTCTTTTTTAATTCTCGATTTTTATTTTATTCTTCCCATTATCGACATAAATTTATTTAAATGCCTTCAGAAAAAAATATTCAAATTGAAGTAAATATTTAAATTTATTTAAAAAATATTTTTAAGAATTTCGATCCAAATGCTCCAGAATTCTTTCCATCAACTTGTTGTGAGTTTCTGCATGTTAAGTCCGCCTTATATGTTGCTTCCTTTATCCAAGTTGATAAAATATAAATAAAAATTTAAAAAAATTTTTAAATTAGCTAGCATTTGTGTTCTCTTTAACACTTGTCTATTTAATACTCGAACAATCTCAATTTATTAATGCAGTAGATGTTTTTAGACCGGGAGTTGGATTTGTTGTTATAGTCAACTTGGCTGGAATATTTTGTGCTGTGGGTTATTTGAAATTTAAAACTATTATAATGTAAAGCTGGCGAAGTTCCCTCCCTGCCTAGAAAATAAAACTTAAAATGAAAGCGATCAGTCAGTGGTGAGATTGGTGAGAAGCGGTTAATCAACCTCGCATTGAAACGATCTCAGTATCAAGTCCCATCCAATCCCTTGCCATTTTTTTCAGTCATTTAAAATAATTTTATAATTATTTCTGAAAAATTTTTTAGTTAACCGGTGTATGTTTACAACGTGACCTTTTTATTTCTGTCCAAATTATGCTCCTTCTGGGACTTGTTTGCCTCTCAGATTTATTTGCCTTTATTTTAGGTATTTCTATAAATCTTCATTTAAAATTTTTTTGAAAGTATTTACAATGGCCTTCGGTTCGAGAATTTCACTTGGAAATTCCTTGGATGCCAAATCCTTAGTTCAATCTGTTTTGGTTAATGACCAACGTTGGGAATACTTTCTTGGCCCGTTTTGGCCCTATTTGTTGGCTATTATTTTCCATATGACAGCTTGTGCAATGATTTGTTTTGTGGCTATATATCGGCGATATAGGAAATTTTTAACGGTACTGTCTGTTATTTATGATATTTTTATTATGATAGAATTATTCTTAAATAATATTAGTCTAATATAAAGTTGCCGGTTCCGGGTATTCGGAACACCCCCGGATATCCGGAAATTTTCGGCTCGGATACCAGAATTAGGGAAAAGAAAAATTCTTAATTCACCTTAATTCCCTTAATCCTCTCTTATAAATGTAAATGTTTATTACAAAATATTTATTTTTCAGAGAAAATACGCAGCGATATCAGATTCTTTTACACTACGACACTGACCTTTAAAGAAAAAAATTTAAAAATATTTATTATTAAATTACATTTTTCTCCTCTATTTCACCCCAAAAAATTATTTTATTTCATTAAAAAATGCGTGGGTGAAACGAACAGTTTTAACATTGTCAAATAATATTAACTAAAAAATAAAAAATGTGGATTTGTTACTAAAATTTTGAACGGATTCGAAAATGTTACTCAACCGGAAAGTGTTTTAAATTTAAATAATATTGGAAATTTACTTTGTTTTTTTAAATTAGCTGTCAATCAGCTGTAACAAAATTAAATTGCTTAAAGCGAGAAAATTAAAATAAACATTTTTTCAAAAATTAACGAATTTTTCTCAAACTAAAGTTTTATGAAATAAAAGAAATATTTACTTAGAATTTTTTAAAAATTTTAAATATTTTAAATTAGTATCTAAAATTAGTTTGTTTATTTTTTACACATTTTTGTTTTTAAATTTAAACGAAAAATTTAAACTATACCTAGGGTTTATTAAATATTTAAGGTTAATAAATTTAAGGTTTATAAAAGTCTGTTTAAACTTTTTTTCAAAATATTAATTGTCGATGAATTAGTGGGTACACCCCGATGTACCACGAGCCCAAAGTACCGCCAAACTATAACTTGTTCAAAATTGTCGAATCCGTGGCGTCCTGGTATGGTTCGATGCGGCTCGACAAACTGAACCGAACCATACCATGGCGCTACGGATTCGACAATATTGAAGAAAGTTATAGCTCACAAATCAGTGGTACATTCGGCTCTTTGTACACTGGCCTGCTCCCGGATTAATAACTAAAATACTTTGATTCCCTTTAAATTTATTTCGGTAATCACCCAAGGATTTTTGTCAAAACCTTTTGTATGGATTCGAAAATGGCTGCTTGTGTTTTAAGTTTTGAGGTTTTGTTTAATTTTTGAAAGATTGTTAATTTCCTTTTTTTGTTTTTTTCCTTTCACTAGTCGCTCATTAGAAATTAATTCCCTCGCGATTGTACTTTTTCCTTTTCCTTTTCATCTCCTAACTTTTAAGTCCCAACTTTTGTTTTTGTTAATCCTCTAAATATTTTGTTTATTTTACTTTAATATTTTTTGACTTGAAAAAGAAATTGTTATTATTCCTTTTTTTGAACTTTAAAAAAATATTTTTTAAATTTAAACATCTACTCATTACTTCGAGATATCTCATACCAGGGATCGCGACGATTCCCGACGATTTTTGGCTCTTGAATTCACGATTCCCGAAAACCGGGAATTTGATTTTCTGTCGGCGCGTTCCCTGTCTCATACTATTCCCGTTTGACACTCCCAGTCCTGCCTCTAATTTAAACTCAAATCTTTTTTCATTATTTTCCTCCCAAAAAAACGTAAATTTTCTATCCTTTTCCCAATTTTCCAACGAAAACCTTAAAACAATTTACCCAAAAATTTACTCACTAATTTAGAAAAGATTTAACAAATTTTAACAATTTAGTGTGCCAAAATATCCAAAGAAATTTGAGATAAACGAGTTATGTTTCAGTCAACCATTTTGTGTGTTTAACTAATTTTTGGATATCCAAAAAATCTTTCTCCCATTTTATTTTTCTTTCATTTTCCATTCTTTTATCCAAAATTTTATGACGTGTTATTGTCTTAAGTTTTGGAATTTTGGCAGCAAAAAACAATTAATAAATTGGGCAAAAGGGCATGCCACATCAATTTAATTTCCCCCTACTTTCTTTTAAAGTTTTATTAATCCACAAGGGAATTAAAAACATCAAAAAATCTGCTAAAACATTTAAATATATAACCTTTAAATATTTATTTGGATTTATTTTCTACGTCAAAAACAAATTTTTTATATACACCATTGTTTATATAAAAATAAATTTGAATTAGTTTGAAACTATTTTTGAAATTAGGTTCAAAAACATTTAGTTTACACATGAAATTTTACAAAATAAAAACAATTTAATATTAATAATTTGAGCAAAAACTCGAAATTTCATCTCTAGAATTTCTTCAGATTTTTGGAATTTTCTTTTCTAAATTCGCCTTCAAATATCCATTTTTATAAAGATTAAGAATATTCTAACTGTATATAATTCACAAGGATCAAATTATAAGTTTAAAAAATAGTTAACATAAGAAGGCATTTAAACTTTTTAAATTTATTTTAAAATAAACTTTCCCAAAATTGAGGGACACTATACCACTTTACTAACCGGAAAAAAATTGAGATGAAAAAAATAATTTTAATAAAAAAATAAGTTAATGTTTAATAATGTTAATACTCAGATATTAAAAAATCAACGAGTATAGACCGAAAGGAGATCTAATAATCTTTGAGATAAAAGTTTAATAAGACTTGTAAAAAATAAAATAAATTTAATATCAAAACAACATAAATTAACACAATTTTATTTAAATTTAGGGATATTATTACTTCCCAAATTTTATTCTTTAAAATAACACAATGATTTGTTACTTCCAAATGTTTATTTTATTAACATCTTTATTCCTTTGTTTTGGAGAGATAATTGCAAATGGAGAGGCGGGTCATAATAATGAAGAAATTGGAATGGAAAAAAGTAGGGAACAAATTAAGCGATTGTCAAATTATTTAATAAAAATTTCAATAAAAATTCAGGAATGCTTTCATATGCTGATTTAATGAACAATTTTGGAGGACCTAGTGCTCTCGATTTGGCGGGTCAGGGCCTCCTTATAGACGATGAAAGACCAAAACGAGAACAAAATTATAATAATGACGATGTACATATAATGACTCTTTGGAAACGATCACCTTCCTATGGACCTTCTTTCTTTAACACAGCTGGTGATTTGACTAAAAAGGATGATTTTATTGCGCCAGGAGTTTTGAGATTCGGGAAGAGAATGCCTGGGGTTTGGATCTTATATTTAAATTTTATTAAAGAAATTTTATTACACTCGAACCTCTCATTTATAGATAACCCCAATATTATTTACAGCTCTAATTGGGTTGCGTTTAATATTTAGACCAACCATATTAAAATTTTTCAAACCTCAGGGATATCGAAAATTATATTTCAATAGTAACTTTCTCTCACAAATTGCTTCTCAATACTTTCTCTCACATTTTCTCTTAAATTCAGGTACTTCGGTTTGGCAAAAGGGACAGAGTTGTTATACAAGAAAAGAAGGCCGTCCCAGGCAAGCTCCAATTATAAGATAATTCTTAATTTTCAAATAATTTAAGGAGTACTCCGTTTTGGCAAAAGACAATCTCAAGAGAGTGGAGCAGTCCCAGGCGTGCTCAGATTCGGTAAAAGAATGCCTCAAGTCCTCCGATTTGGAAAATAAATGAATTATTCCAACACAGAATTTTCAAATAAATTTTATTAATATATTATAGCCATTCCTTTCCATCATCGTTCTATTGTCTTTTCCGCCATTGCCATTTATTTTTTATGGCACAGAATAAATGAATTTGAGTATTTTTTAAAATTTATTTCAGATTTAAATAGATTTTTATGGAACCGACACAAATATTTAGATCAGGGCTTGGATTCGTCTTATTCTGAAAGCACAGTAATTACATACCGACCTTGATACTTAAGAAATTGGAAATGTATTTATTTGTAAATAAACTTTTTAGTTAAAAAATTTTATCTAGAAAAGGTGAGACTCTGACTTTTAGAAAAAGAATCCGACTCTACAAATATTAAATTTTAATCTTCTCTATTTAAATCGTCGGCAACTTTTGCGACATTTCCTCTAACAAAATCGCCGAAACCATGAACAGATCCAAAATTGCGGACTCCTTAATTTTAATATTGAAAATTAATTTTGGATTAAAAAATTAAGAAAATCAACATGGAGACTGAGATTAATTAAGTTTATAGAGAAGAAATAAAAATTTCTAGCTAGTTTATTTTTAAATTACTTACTTCTATGCGATTTCGTTGGCAGCGGTGTACATTTCTTTTCAGTCATGCATGTGATGAACGTTCTGAATTTTAATTAATTTATTAATAAGAAATACTAAATAAATTTCTTTGCTTGGATTAATTTTTGAGATAAAAATATTAAATATCTTCTAATTTGTTAAAAGAAAAACTTTACGTGAAACATTCACACATTTCTTTTGAACAGTCGTTTATATTAGCGGAAGCACATTCCTTTAATACAACATCACAAGTTGAAAAATTTTTAAAATAATTCAAGAGAGTATCCTTCTCACATATTTTGTGCACGACTGCTGAATATTTGCATATATCTAGATCCTGCATGCATCTTTCAGTTAAAAAAAATTTATTTTAATTTTATGATTATGTAATGCCATGTAAATACATGTTCTATATGAGGATATGATTTGAGTCGAAAAATCTAATATTGAACTTCAAATCACTCTGTTTCTTAGCAAACAATTTTTATAATATATTTTTGTGCCTATTCCAGAACTTATTGCAAATTCTTATGTAATGTATATTTTCAATATTTTAACAAAATATATACATATAATCGAATCTCACACTAACGTCTTGAATTCTTCTTAAATTATTATCGAACTAAACAAATAGTTGACGTTCGAAAATCAAATATTTGATCAACATTAAAAAAGATCAAATTTTCTTAGATATTTTCAAATATTAAATTACTTGATACAATCCTGATTCCTATTTATCGTACGATTCCTATTCTAAACTTGAATTTCTACAAATTCAACTGTTCCTAATTCTATTTTGTATTTTTAGTATCTTCCAATTGGCAAATAAATTATTTATAAATAACATACAGGCAATCATCAAATTTGTATAATTCATTTGATTCCATAATTTTAGTGCATTCTTCGACACTTGGTGGTTTAACTGGTTGTTCAGCCTGTTCAGCTTGCTCATCTCCTTTTGTTATAACAAAAGTAACTAGTGCCAGAATAAAAGTAGTTTTTCTGAAAAGTTTTATCAGTTATTTTAACAGAATATTGATATTTGAAATTTTTTATTTTTAAAGTTTGGTTGACTCTATAAAAATTAGATATATGTAATATCCTGGTTCTATTTAAGTTATATTTAAATTAGTTTATTTCAAAACAAAATAAAATATTCAACTTACAAAAATGTTTCATTCATTTTTATCAAAATTTTTATTTTTAATCAATTAAAATTAATTAAATAAAAAAATTTGATGTAAATATAAAATTTAAAAAATGAATCAAAATTATTTTATTTCATCTTAAATAGAAACAATAGTTCATTTATACTTTAATTCATTAACTTGTTTTGTTTTAATTAGGGAAGGAAATTTAATTGTTTAAATAAATTTTTTAATAACAACTGCGTGTATCCGTACTAAGTCAATTTTTTATTTTAAATAGTATTTATAAAATTTTTAAGTTTAATAATAACAATGTTATTTATTTATTAAGTAAACTTGTTTTGTTTTAAATAAAAGTATTTTATTGATAATAAAAGTACAATTCTAACGTAAATACGAGTTTTGTTAAGACCACTTTTGAATGATTTTTGCTGTAAAATTTAGATAATACACAAAAATTTGTTATTTTATTCTTCCTTCTTTAAATCATCCGCAACATTTCCTCTAATAAAATCACTAAAACCATGAAGAGCTCCAAAATTACGGGCTCCTTAAATTAACGATATAATGATATAAAAACAATAGATTCGTGATTAGAAATTATTTTTGTGAATTTCAATAAAAAAAATAGAAACAGAGCTATTATGATAAAAACAAGGTCTTACTATCATTCCCGGCCAGGGATGGACAAAATTGAATTTTACCCTTATGTTTCTTTTTGCGTAAATTTGGCGAAATTTTTGTTGAAAACCTTTACATTTAGTGTTCACCAATCTGATTATTTAAGAGGTGGGGGTTACAATTACTTTTTAAATTGTCTCTTGTAAGTAGAGTTGGGCGGGATCGGGATCCCGACGAAAAATCGGGATCGGGATTTTGGAATGATGATCCCGATCCCGGTCCCGATCCCGACTGCGGGATCGGGATTGGACGAAATCGGGATCGGGATTCGGAATAATGATCCCGATCCCGGTCCCGATCCCGAATCGGGATAGGGATTGAAAAATCGGGATCGGGATTTAGTTAAAAATTTTTAAAAAAATTTAAATTTTTATTTTCTTTGCATATACCTCAATATAATTCCATAATTTTCATCTGCTGTGCTGAAATATTGATTTTAAGTCCCAGCGCGCATTTGTTCTTGGCGTATCAGGGATTAATGAGGAGGGATAAAGTATTAACGATAAGGTGATTCTGATGGATTAAGAGGGATATCGTTGATTAATGAGATATTGGGATCTAGATGGACATTAGGAATTTGGGTCATCATGAATTTTCTTCTTATTCACCACCGGAGGCAAAAATTTTGAAAAATTTCGAAGATTCTCAAGCTAAAATCTTCATTTTTAGCGCCACAGGCGAAAATTTTGAAAATTTTGGATGGCGTAGAAGCCAAATTGCTTTCTTTTCAGCTCATTAATATATATTTTCATTAATTTATAAAATCCCGATTTCATCGGGATCCGATTGCTAATCCCGATCCCGGTCCCGATCCCGGCTCGGGATCGGGATCGGCCAAAACCGGGATCGGGATTTGTCTTTCGGGTTCGGGATCAGAAAAATCGGGATCGGGATTCAAAAAAACCGGGATAATCCCGCCCGATCCCGACCGGGATCCCGATCCCGCCCAACTCTACTTGTAAGTATTGTGAGTAGAATTGACTTACTTCTAACTGATTTTGCTTGCACAGGTGTACATTTATTTTGGTTCATGCAGTTGATGAATGTCCTGAATTTTATTAAATTTATCAATAAGAAATTCTGAATTAAAGTTACAAAGCTGCATTAACTTTTGAAATAAAAACTAAGAAAAAAACTTTACGTGAAACATTCGCACATCTCATATAAACAGCTATCTATATGAGAGGTTGAACAATCCTCTAATATTACATCGCAAGAATCTGATAGATTTTTATAATAATCAACGAGGGTATCCTTCTCGCATCTCAGGTCCTTTACTAATATAGATTTACATTTAGCTAGATCCTGCATGCATCTATTAATTAATTTTATTAAAATATGGATGCATGTTTCTATGTACTTGATAGTAGATGTTTTCGTTAGTATAATTTTAATTTTATTTTGTAATTTTAATGTCTCCCGATTGGCAATAAATTATTTATAAATAACATACGAGCATTCATCCCTTATGTATTCTGCATTAGAATTCCAAACTTTATTGCATTCAGCGACAGTAGGTGGCTTCTCACCTTTTGTGATAACAATAGAAATTAATGCCAAAATTAAGATGATTTTTCTGAAACTTCTATTTGACATTTATAATCGTTAAAATTTATAATAAAATAGTCAACTCACGAGAATGGTTCTTTCATTTTTATATCAAAATTTTTATTTTTAATAAACTATAATGAAAAGAAATTTAATTTTAATATAAAATTAAAAAAAATATAAATCAAAATTATTTTTTTCAAATATTAAATAGTAATTATTTTATTCACTTAATAATATGTTTACTATTTACCTATTAATTAAACTTGTTTTGTTTTAAATAAAATTAAAATATTTTATTAATAATAAAAGTGCAACTTTTATTGAAAAATAAATGTAAATTGTTGGTATGTCCAATTTTTAGACCCATTTTTAGGTTGGATTTTCACATAACGTTTTTATAGGAGAGGCATGGGAGGTTTTAAAAATTGTCAACTTTTTAAATTATTATTTAACTTTTATCAAGTTTATTCAATTGTTACCAAAAATGCAAAAATGTTCTTTTTTAAAAACAGGTTTATCCAACCCTATAAAAATTATATTATTAATTTATCATGGAAATAAAAATTTAAATAATTAAAGTGAACATGTCCTGTACAACTACGGATATAAAATAATATTTCAGCTTTCCATTTTTATCTAGAAGTTTGAGGTCAGATTTCTTCAATCATCAGCATCGTAGACAAAAATTTTTGAGCAAGTTAAATGGTTAGAAGCCAGAATTTTTACACAATAAAAGAATTCTTTGGCGAAATTTCGATCAAAAATATTTAAAAATTCCATATTTAACAGGCCGAAAAATTTAAATTCAATTCGACAATCCTATGCAAAATAGTCAACTGATTCTTTTCCAATTATTTTTCATAAAATCAAACATTAAACTCAAATATAAAATGATTCAATAAAAGAATAAATAATAAGAATATAAATTTATATACGTGGTTAAATAAACAAAAGAATATTAAAATGACGGAAAACTGAAAATAACAAGGAACAATTCAACTAAATGACATGGTCTTCAATTTACGTGTATATTTAAGCTTTGTTTATTTATCAGAGTTATTAATTGCAAATTTTATTTTCTTTATCAATCCCTAGAAGTATTATACCTTAGTATTGATGATTTGAAAAAATTCGGAACCTTAAGAGAAATAATCTAATGGATAATTATTTTATAATATATTTATGGTTTTTGTTGAGCTATAACCATTGAATTACAAAGTATAATAGGAATTAATGTATCCTTGTGTTATTGAGAGAAATCCTTCGATATAGTATTAGGGACAATAATTTTATAGGAAAGTAATCTCATACATACATTAATAATATATATTCTAAAAATTATTTTTAAAAATATAGATAACTTAAAATGAATAATATACTCGTATTCCTAATTCTTTTGAATATAGCCATGTTTGTCTCAGTCAATGGCCAATTCTGTAAAGTTTTCTTCCCCCAAGTTTGTCTATTAATTTGTAAAGCATGCACTGGGAAGGGTTGTCTTGTTAAGGATCCCTTATGCCCACCAGCTATTACTTTCTGCCAATTTTTTGGCTGTTTTTGTGAATAAAGGTTGGAAATTAAATTTTAATTGTATAAATAATTATTTAGTAACATGCACAACTGCTCAATGATGTAAAATTTGGTTAAAATGATAAAGAATATAATTTCTTACATAAATTTCTTTACACGTTATAATAATATTTGTATATTTTTTATATAAATTATTAAATAAATTTTATAAGATTCATTTTAAATAATAGTTAAAATCAAGAAAGAATATGTATGTATCGATGACATTATGAGCCATTATTCGTTGCTTCAAATTTTTTCAATTCTGAAATTTTGTCAAGAATTTTAAAGCTTTAGAAAGCATAATGATAAGACGGAATACCCAAATTACAACTTAATTTTCTGAGATACATTTATTCATATCCTGAAAAGGCCAGCTTTATTATTTTCAAAACCCCTATGATTAAAGTGAATTTTTTCTCTTTTTATTTTTTAATTCATAGACAGATGTGTGATCCAGCCCTATAAATTAAATCTTCTCAATCTTTTTGTTTAAATCTTTGTCCTATTTAATGTAAAAAGTGGTTTAGATTATTTTGAAAACAAGATTTCACTGCGAAAAACGTTTCCATAAATATTTATTTATTTAATTCGTTAATTTCATAAAAACCATAAAAGACATTAACATGAAAGTTGCAAGGAAATAAAATCGGCAGGGAAATAAAATCACATCTTATTTGAAATGTGTCTGTGATTGTATTTGTTAATATTTAAAAAATCTCGTTAACATCATTATAGAAAATATTTTTTATCAAAAAATATTTGTAATAAGGAAATAAATTTTAATATAATGTATCTAACGTTTATTAATTATTTGAATATACAATGACTAATTTGATAAGATAATTATTTATAATATCTAATTTTCAAAGAATATTATCATAAATATTATGTGATATATCCAAGTCACTTGACTATTTATCAGAATACAAAAGCTAAGATTTTAAGTAAAAATATTCCCTAATCTCCATGTAAAAAATTAATCTTTCTATTCGATTTAACTTTAGATAAAATGAAAAATTTAATTATTTTTTTGTTATTCTTGAATATTTCAATGTTCGTCTCAGTCAATGCTCAATTTTGTAAAGTTTTCTTTCCTCAAGTTTGCAGATTAATTTGTAAAGCATGCTTAGGAACGGGTTGTCTTGTTAAAGATCCGTTATGTCCAGCAGCTGTTAAATTCTGTCAATTTTTTGGTTGTCGGTGTGTTAAGGTAATATTCTCATGAAAATAAAAAAATTTTTAATTTCA